CTTTCCAACAAGCCGTTTTGCTGAAACCCATACTTAGAACCGATCTAGAACCACCAAATCCATTATCTAGAACCGGGGGCCCCCGGACTACCGCCGTGCCGAGTTTGGGGCCGCTGCGACCTTTCGACCCCTTTTGGCCCCCGTTTGTTTGACGGCCCACGTGCAACTTGTTCCATGGGGCTGTTGGTGGCCAATTAGCGCCAAAAAAGGTCAGAGGGACGCGGAACTCTAGGGCCCGTCCCAGGGGCCCGTGACGGGACGCATACGTCAGTTTCGGGCCGATCGGACCTTTCTGTCCACCCTTCGGCGAGCACATGGTCCGATTAATGGCCGCCCTCTCTCACACATAGACATACATGCAGTCAGAGTGAACCAAAGTGAGGAGATTTTTGCACTGCAAAAACACACACTTGGAACCGATCTAGAACCCTGCGACCCGGGATCTAGAACCGGGGGCCCCTCGACTACCAGGGCGGGGAATTTGGAGGCGGTGCGACCTTTCGACCCCTGCATTTCCGCCCGCCCACGTGCAACTTGTTCAATGCAAACTTCACAGGCGCTTCCCGGTCAAGGGGGTCTTTTTTCGGGCAAACGAGCTGTTTCGGACGCGGAACTCTAGAACCCGTCCCCGGGGCCCGTGGCGGGACGCATACGTCAGTTTCGGGACAATCGGGCGTTTCCTTCAAACCGTTTGGCCGAAACACATACCTAGAACCGATCTAGAACCGCGCGACCCGTGATCTAGAACCGGGGGCCCCCGGACTACCGCCGTGCCGAGTTTGGGGCCGCTGCGACCTTTCGACCCCTTTTGGCCCCCCTTTGTTTGACGGCCCACGTGCAACTTGTTCCATGGGGCTGTTGGTGGCCAATTAGCGCGAAAAAAGGTCAGAGGGACACGGAACTCTAGAACCCGTCCCAGGGGCCCGTGAGGGGACACATAAGTCAGTTTCGGGCCGATCGGACCTTTCTGTCACACGTTCCACGAAACACCTGTGAAAATGAATGGGATAAGTCGCACGTGTCAGTGGCCCCTGTTCGGCCCCCCGAGGTCCCACGGGCCCCAAACGCTGCGTGCCGGGCCCCCTCGGGCCCCCGAACGACATATCAGGGGGACGAGTCTCTAGAACTCAGGGCTCATTTTTTTGCCTCCCTTGTTCAAGTTTCTCTCAAAAGCATCTTGCACTCATAGTGAGCTCATAGACTGACATTCCCTCTCGAAGGGTCAAACTGAAAACACACTCGGAACCGATCTAGAACCCTGCGACCCGGGATCTAGAACCGGGGGCCCCCGGACTACCACCGTGTCGAGTTTGGGGCCGCTGCGACCTTTCGACCCCTTTTGGCCCCTGTTTATGTGACTTCCCACGTGCAACTTGTTCCATGGGGCTGTTGGTGGCCAATTAGCGCGAAAAAAGGTCCGAGGGACGCGGAACTTTAGAACCCGTCCCCGGGGCCCGTGACGAGACGCGTGTGTCAGTTTCGGGCCGATCGGGCCTTTCCAACAAGCCGCTTTGCTGGAACCCACACTTAGAACCGATCTAGAACCACCAAATCCAGGATCTAGAACCGGGGGCCCCCGGACTACCGCCGTGCCGAGTTTGGGGCCGCTGCGACCTTTCGACCCCTTTTGGCCCCCGTTTGTTTGACGGCCCACGTGCAACTTGTTCCATGGGGCTGTTGGTGGCCAATTAGCGCGAATAAAGGTCCGAGGGACGCGGAACTTTAGAACCCGTCCCCGGGGCCCGTGACGAGACGCGTGTGTCAGTTTCGGGCCGATCGGGCCTTTCCAACAAGCCGCTTTGCTGGAACCCACACTTAGAACCGATCTAGAACCACCAAATCCAGGATCTAGAACCGGGGGCCCCCGGACTACCGCCGTGCCGAGTTTGGGGCCGCTGCGACCTTTCGACCCCTTTTGGCCCCCGTTTGTTTGACGGCCCACGTGCAACTTGTTCCATGGGGCTGTTGGTGGCCAATTAGCGCGAAAAAAGGTCAGAGGGACGCGGAACTCTAGAACCCGTCCCAGGGGCCCGTGACGGGACGCATACGTCAGTTTCAGGCCGATCGGACCTCTCTGTCCACCCTTCGAGGAGCACGTGGCCTGAGACTAAGACCATGGTGAAGTTCGGGTGGTCAGGGGACCCCCCAGGCACTCCGTGGCAATGAAGAAGAGGATAGGTTGTTAGGGGTCAAAAAAGGCTCCTCGTGGTACTGAGGAAGACTGTGGTGAAGTTCAGGTGGTTAGGGGACCCCCCAGGCACTCCGTGGCAATGAAGAAGAGGACAGGTGGTTAGGGGTCGAAAAAGGCTCCCCGTGGCACTGAGGAAGACTGTGGTGAAGTTCAGGTGGTTAGGGGACCCCATAGGCACTCCGTAGCAATGAAGAAGAGGACAGGCGGTTAGGGGTCGAAACAGGCACTTCGTGGACCACGAGGAAGACTATGGTGAAGTTTGGGTGGTTAGGGGACCCCACAGGCACTTCGTGGCGATGAAGGAGAGAAAAGGTAGTTAGGGGTCGAAATAGGCCCTCCGTGGCACTGAGGAGGACTATGGTGAAGAGCAGGTAGTTGGCGGACCCCAAAAGCACTTGGTGGACCACCCAGTAGTGCACTGGCACCCCTATAGGCTACCACACAGAGCCTATGTTAATTTATGCTGATTTTGGCTACTTTATATGCGATTTCGGAAAGAGTACCACTCACCATCCGAATAAGCAGGATCTGGCGTCCTTTTCGAGCACGCGGACTTCGGAGTGCCTACGATGACAATGGCAACTTAAATGAATGGGAAAATTCCCACAGACAGCCTGGGTTCCCTTACTGCTAGAGCACTTTAATCCAGTAAGGAAACAAGTGAAGTTTTTATGAATCAATCATTCAAACCGATTTTAAAAATAGTATGTTTCACCTGTCTGGATCTTACATGTGTGTTCAAGCATATTCTACCCCTTCTGAGAGGTATTCCACTGCTGGAGATACAATAAGATATAGGAGAGGTCCCAAATTATCCTTGAGAATGCAAAAATTTTTATTTTCCTTCAGAAAAAAATATTGCTAAATAATATGTTGCATTTGTTGACATTGCCAGTCTGTTAAACTCATTTGACAAATATCAGAAATAAAACACAAAAAGGATTGTGTATATTCCCCGTACTACTATTTGTATTAGTTGTTTTAATAATTTTAATTGAATGGGAACCGGAACCGGAATCGTTTGGCGGAACCGGAATCGGAACCGGAACCGAAAAATTTCTAACGATTCCCAACCCTACTGTTAGGCAGCCGTGTGGAACGCACTTGATGAAGGGAGCAACGAAAGACAACGTAATTTCCTCATTATTTTCACCTGGGATGTTCCCATGACAACGCAGCACGGTGTCCATCAGCTGGTCTTACGACAGAAATATAATGCTGTTAACATAACGGATGCAAATACATTTTTATTTTTAGTTTACAAAAAAGCTTTTAAAATATGCATTATATATCTGTGTGTCTCAACTTTAAAATTTTGGACCCTACATTACCTAACATTTCTTACGAAACTTTTCTTTATGAAAATGTAATAACATGAAACAATTTGTACAGTGTAACTGATGTATAGATAATTATCTTTCCTTCATGTTTTTCTTCTTTATCTTTTTTATTTATTTATTTTAGTTTCCAGCTCATTGTTCTTTTTTCATTTGTATTCTGATGACATTGAACATATTGTTAATACATTTTGTACATTGTATACAAGTTGTATGTCATAAAAAAATTGAATCTATGTATGTTTTGCACAAATAAATAAATAAAGTATCATTTTAAGCTGTAAGCACCAGCACGCATAGATTTATGGATATCTATGCCAGCACGTCCCACCCGGGTTCGTCACTTATTTGGTTCCCCTGGAAACATTTCCGTTGTGCTCTGTGTTATTTGCAGCGCGTTTCTGTATTTGGTGGTGTTGTGAGTATTTGGAGCTCATGTGTGTTGTGAAACTGATGAAGTTGTTTTCTTAATTTGCGGGTGTTTTTTTTTTTATTTGCACGCGTTTTTTTTCTATTTGCATGCGTTTTATTTTATTTGCATGTGTTTTTTTTTTTATTATTTGCACGCGTTTTTTTCTATTTGCATGCGTTTTTTTCTATTTGCAATTGTTTTCTTCAGTTGCAGCGCGTTGAGCTCTCTCGGCCACCGTACATTTCAGCTTTGCCATCACAGGAATAAACTACATTTTAAAATATATTCAAATTGAAAGCAATGAATTTAAATGGTAATAAAATTGTGCAATATTATGGTTTCTACTCTAATTGTGATCAAATAAATGCAGCCCTAAGCATGAGACTTCTTTCAAAAAATGTTAACAGATCTTACAGAACCCAAACTTTTGAGAGTGGTAGTGTACATTTGCATTTGGTTGATGCTTTTATCCAAATTGATTTAAATTTCATTCAATTTGATCAGTTCATGTATTTCAGGAATCAAATCCATGACACCGGCGTTGCTAGCACTATCTACAGGAACGTTGACTGAGGAACTGAAATTCCATAATGTTTGGCAAAAGAAAATCCATTTCCCCCTTATTTCTTCAAATATATAGAAAATCTGAGTGTGAATGGATCTTATTCAGAATTGAATCTAGGGTGACGCACTCCTTGTATAGTGTGAAAAGCCACCATCTCCCGCTTTTTGAAAACCTGCATTACGCCCTTTCTAAACGACAACCCTTCTGCTCTTCTTTTGAAAAGAAGCTTGCAGCTCTATTTCCACACTATTTAAGGAGGAAATCTTGCAGGTCATTGCTCTCTGCAAAGCAGGCCATTATAGTGAAAAGGCTGTAAAAAGCTTCCGTGACAGATTGCAAATCACATTAAAAAAGAACCTGAAGTGCTGATCACGAATTTGGTGTATTTTATAACGCAGGATAAAATGAAACAGCACTAAGCAAGGCTGTGAACTCGGGCAACAGTTTGTAGAGAGAGGACGCAGACAGACCCAGGTGTGTGCATGTCGGACTTACTTTCCCAGGGCGAAGCATTCTAGCTTCAGCGTGGATCCTTTAGCAGCTGGAATGGTGTCTGGGAAATGAAGCTCTATTTTGGGCTCGTACTCTCCCATCGCTCCTGCCATGGGCAGACAATACACCACAGATGCAAACGGCTTTGTCATTCATGATTTACGACATACAAGCTTTGTACTCCAGAATACAAGCAAAACAACAACAAATGGCAAAACACAAAGACCTGTCAATGAGCTGGGGAACCGAGAAGATTGTGCCAAAAATACAGAGACATGTTATTAAAGATTTATGGAACACACATAATAAAAACAGGATCCATCTCAAATGGAAATGTGGTCTCCTTTGAGAAATTGTCAAGAGTGCAGGTTAGTGTTCTTAAAAGAGGCAGTTTAGCTTTCAAGACAGTGGCATAAATACATCTCTGACATTTACGAATGAAGATCTCTCAAAAAATGCCACATGCTCTTTTGACCCAACTGAAAAAAAGTATTTTTGCCATAAAATTACCATTTTAACATTTTAAGTTTTACAGACTGAACAAATATATGTAAAAAAATCTTACATTTCATTAACTGAATTTTTTTTGATATACCAAATACTAAAATATATTTGTTTAGCTTAATGAAGCTTAATGACAACCACCTTAAAACACAGGTGGGAAAGAGAAAGCTTCACGACAAGTAGCTTTTCGACAAGCTGAGGTAAATACTAATACTAACAAACCACTATCATGGTAACACACTAAAATAATGTAATAAACATTAATTTAACAGCATAAGATGTAACATAAAACCTTAATGTACATAAACTGAAACTAAGAAGAAACAGATATTTCATTGAAAAACGTGAGCTGTCACACCGAGAATTCTGGGAAAGTCTATTTACGATTTTTCACTGTAAATTATAAGATGACTTGCTCTTTTTTACAAAAACTATAGATTTAACTGTATTTTACTGTAAAATTACATGAAATGTCCAGTTAGATCTATTACAGTTTTTCACAATATAGAGTAAGGTTAGTAATATAGTTTCTTAAGGCCCCGATACATAGGGAATATGTCTTCATTTTTTGCTTCGGGTTAAAAAGAAATACATGAGCAGCGGTATACTGTTAATGAACATCCTTATGCTGCCCAAGCTGCTGAGAGCGCCATTTAGATGAATATGTACATGCTGCGCACTTTCCTCCCAACAACAAAATTACAGACAACAAAAATGACAGGAGTTAGAAAATAAGAGTTCAGAAAACATCCGAACATAGCGATGTGAATGAATACAGTATATGCACAAGCTCTGCAATTTAGCCTCACGTCATATTTACTTGCATAGCACTTTATTCAATATATTGCTTTAAAGCAAGTAGCTTTACAGTATTAAAGGAACAATCCGACTTTTTGGGACTTTAGCCTATTCACCTTATCCCCCAGAGTTAGATAAGTCCATACATACCTTTTTCATCTCCGTGCGGAGTGATAACCGCAGCACCTGAGACGCGCCGTGGTGAGGAGCAGAGAGCGCGTCTAAGGTGCTGCGGTTATCACTCCGCCCAAGTAGCAGTGCTTCGCCTTCAGAGAATATAGTTCCCAGTATTTACGGTTAAAATATGTCTGTGTCTCATGTGACTTTGTTTTTTGTACACTCTGTGACTATACAAATCACAACATGTAAATAGAAAAATGTTTGCGTTATTTTGTCACTTATTTGGATTAGTATGCTAGCTGCAACCATTTACATCCAGTCTTTGTGCTAAGCTAGGCTAGCGGTGGGTGCGTCAAACAGACTTATAGCACGCACGGAGATGAAAAAGGTATGTATGGACTTATCTAACTCTGGGGGATAAGGTGAATAGGCTAAAGTCCCAAAAAGTCGGAGTGTTCCTTTAAACATGAAAAACAGTGACAGTGTCGCTTTCAATTATAATTACTACTTTATTTTCTACTATAAAGCAGCTCTCGTATAAAGCAGGATGTACAACCTCAAGGGGCTGAACAGAACAAATGAACCACAGAAGATATCCACGTCAAAGAGGGGCAGAGCCTCATCGCACACCTACATATTTCGTAATCGCCATGGACCAATGAAAGTACAAAACAAACAAGCAAACTTTTCTTAAAAAGGTTGCTTTGGCTAGCTGTTTCGAATTCTCAAAACGAACTCCAAAAGCCATTCGTTTTCGCCTGATTTTGTTCGTAATGACTTCAGTTGGTTCTTAGATATTGTTACGTCTTGTTTGAAGTATATCGGGGCCTTTACCGGTAACCAAGTAACAGGTTTTTCGAGTAGCATGCTTACATAGCCTGGTTAAAACCAGACCATTCTCAGTTGTAACTGAGTTATGGTCTGGCAAAGCGTCATAGACAAATCATTTCCAGAGGGGCGTCACCAACGGACGTCGCGGATAGACCTAAAACCAATCAGAGCGACGAAGGAGATGACGTATGCAGAGCGGGGGGAGAAACATCTCAGAGTGTTGTTCTTTGCTCGGTTTTTAACAAAAGGGAAACGTTCAAATCGCTTAAAACAGACGCGATAGCTGATTCGAACGAGTGATGTTCGACGGCGGCATCCATCTTTGTAATGTAGGCTACAAAATCTGCTTCAAAATCCCAGCGCTGTCGTCATCGTGTAAAGCCCGCCCCAACGTTTCTGATTGGTGCCGCGATTTCGGCGGATTGAAAATGAGCTTGAATGAGCTCTTTGCCAGACTAACTTTCAGAGCAAATCTAAATTTGCCGGAAGTTGTCTGGGTTTTCCCAGGCTAATGCTTACAGTCTTTTAACTTTAAAATTACAATAATCGTTTTACAGTGTGCTCCTATTTGGTGCATAAACTTGACAGACAACCCTCTTACCATCGTTTCTCAGCACTAAAGGTGTCGGCGAACTGAACACCCTCTCCTTGGTAATAGTGTTATTAACCACGCAGGTGTAATTCCCTACGTCAGATGGTTCCACTTTAGCTATGTAGAGATTCCCCGTCTCCTGGGACACAAAGCGTCGGCTGTCTTGCAGGACGAAGTGAGGGTACTCGTTGAAGACCCAGGTGAATGTGAGGTCTAGAAAGATGTCAGAAACAGAGAGTTATATTCTGACACAGACATTTATATTTTCAGAAAGGTGTAGAGTCACTTTGTTTGGTAAACTATAATCTTGAGTACAAAGCGTACAAAGTGTCTGTATAACACCACTCGCTTTGCCTCTGGCTGACCTCCTTAGGGCAGGTGAGGCTCAGTAAACAGAGTGACTCTTCCTTTGTGAGGCGGCAGGAAAGGGAGCGAAACAAACTAGATTAAAGCGCCTCACTGGCACTCTTATGACACATGCCCTGTCCGGCTTCACCATGGCTAGGGACGAAGGCTTCTCTGCTGGCGTCATTCATGCATGGCTGGCTTTTGCTGAAAAAGGCTGAACCAGAGAAGACCGAGGGCCCTGCCACAGTGCATTAGCGTGTCATCTACAGGAGACTAAGAGGGGGAAGGGAATGGGAAAGAGAGGCTCGTGCACATGATGCAACTGTTGGAAAGGTGTACGGGATGGCTGCCACTCAAAAAGTGTCCCCCGAGACCGCGCCGCCTATCAAAAGACAGGGAAACACGCTGGCTGGCTGGATGTCATGAAGTTAAAAGCAATTCTTTATGATCGGGTTGGCCCAGGAATCCTTGCATCAGAGCTCTTGTCAGTCAAAATGCGCTGAACAATCGAAAAGAGAGAATTGTTACTGAAAACACTAACAAACCTGCTGTTCAGAACTACAATGAAAGAGCCCACCACTGGGAAAGTACATGACATTTCCTCGGCATTGTGATATACATAAGAGCTGTCTATGCTCTGGCAATGTAAGGAAGGGATGCTTAACAAAAATGCCGGAGAAAATGGCCTACAGCTTTAAAATAATGACACGGACAAGGTGAAGAGATAAATGCTCTGAATCCTCTACCATTCATTCGAAATATGTATGTCTATTAGTGCTGGGCCGTTATCGGCGTTAACGTGCTGCGTTAACGTGAGACTCTTATCGGGCGATAAAAAAAATATCGCCGTTAATCAAAGTTGGGTTGGGATCATAAATAGCTTTTTCGAATATCGTTATATTTTCGCGCAATTCTAATGTGTAGTATGATGCCGCGCCTACTGTCACAGGTCGCGCAGTAGGGTATTTTCCTGTCAGGGACACAAGGTGTACTTTTACTTTGTTACGTTGGACGACGTTCCTCTCGTTACTTTAATTTAATGCATTACGTTGTTAAATGAGTTTATTCCAAGCGCGCTGTGTCCTTTGTATGGGCATGAGCGATGCTCATTTACAAATGAATCCCTCTTTTGAGTCGATTCTGTTCAAAGACTTCATCAAACAAGTTGTCAGATGATCTGTCTAAATCGGTTCGCGAATCAGTTGATCTGTTCAGTTCCTCGCGCACTGAATCGTCTGAAGCGCTTTCAATTCACACTCGGAGTCGAAACAGTAAGATTTAAGAGCATCAAGAGCGTTGGATGAAGTGGCCGATCTACAGTCTAGTCTAGTGAATGCAAATCTGCAAATGCATCATATTTTTGCCAGCGATGAAGATCTTTATTAGTTGAACATCTTCGTAAGCTGTCTGTGAATGAATGATTCCACAGGACGATACATTCGATTTCATTTCATTCAGGTAATACATTGTGTGTGTATTGCGCGTGTATTGCGCAGTGGCATAATCACACGAATAGTTTACATTGATTGAAACTAATTTGTTTAAAAATGAGGCTATTGCAGTAACAAGGCAGGTTCACATAAAATTCTTATGACATATGATGACATTATTTTTTGATCTAACGAGCATTGGCGATGCAAAAACGGACTGTTGTGCGTATTGTTTTTTCTTCTTCTTCCAATTAGCCTACTATGTTAAAAAAAGGACGAAAACATGTTACTTGTTCAATTAATAAACAGTTTGTTTGATGACAAATCGCTAAAGATGAAATTGGCCTCCCTTTCTGTCATTGCGTTTTTTTGTTTTGTTTTTTTAACGATATTCGACTTTTGCTCCTCGATTGTCGAATGGCATTTTTGGCAGAAATGCACATCCCTACGCGAGGCAAACTATTCTCAAAGACTTACTTTTAGTCATTATTTGGGTAGCACACATATTCTGAATGCCTTCGGGAGAATTCAAATGAGCCATTTTAATCTAGATTAATCTAGATTAATTTCAATATTAATCTAGATTAATCTAGATTCAAAAAATTAATCTATGCCCACCTCTAATGTCTATACATGTAATTCATAGAAAATATATTCAGCAACAAATATATTCAGCAACAAAAAGAGCCAAAAAATCCTAACTACTCTAAGTTAGCCTGTAACTGCTCAATTCATAGCTAAATCGAATGCTACATTCAAAAGTTTGGGGTAGGTAAGAATGCTTTTGGAAGGAAGGCTGAATTTATTTGATCAAATAAACAATAAGAACAGCAATATTTTAGAATATTATTACAATTTAAAATAACTGTTTTCAATGTGAATATATTTTAAAGCTGCAGTCCGCAGTTTTTACTCTTTGTCGCCATCTCTGTTCGAAATCTGTAATTGCAGTTATTCGCAGAATTATAAACTTTATGTGAGTTGTACTTCGACACCCTCGACACGCACAGCGCGGATGAACACAATGTTTGAGGAGAGTGTGCCGTGCAGCTGTCAGTCACCGCGCCTGCCATGGCGCAAAGATAGTCTGAATGCCAGTCTGTATACTGGCATTCAGAATCACAGATTATTCTTTTTGAAAGTATGACCAACATAAGAATTTTCACCCGAAAATGTAATCTGAACAAGTAAGTAACTTTTGTTACTTTTGTCACTTTTGTTCTGGTTCTGACATTGCAGTAAAATCACGCTGATTAAATCTAACAATCGCTTATCATATCACGCAAAACCATGCAAATTATACTTTGTTCTCAAATTGTTAATGTTAACAACGTCAGCATTGCGTGACTACATGTAATGTCCTTCCGATATGTATCCTTGTTTTCACATGGGCCGGTTGCAGTCTCTTTTTTTCTGTAGCCACTCCGAAGTCCGAAGTCTTTTGCATTTTACAGCAAAAAAACAGAAACCAGTCTGTGGAAACCATGATAGTTTTTCCACCCCCAAAGGTTCTAAAAATAGCATTTATTTGAAATAAAAATCTTACATTGTTTTTACTGCCACTTTTGATCAATTTAAACATGGTTGAATAAATGATCAATTTCTTTAAGAAAAAAACGTACTGACCTTGAGCATTTGAACGGTAGTGTATGTGGATTGATATTGTGCCATTTGATTTATCAGATGTAGAGCAGAGAAATTGGTTTGATAACACACTACATTTCCAACAGATAAAACAGTTGCCCTGGGAAAAAGTGATTTAAATATTACTAGTGTAGAATATTATAGCTTCCTCCACTATGACAAAACAGGTTGGTAATAATAACCAATTCGTTTTTTGAGTTCAGCAATCTCAATAGACAGCTATATCATGGGTACTTTGATAAGACATTTTGATCTAGCAGGAAACTGCAAATGAGGAGCAGAGAAAACTTGCTTTTAAAATGTTTGATCACATGCAGTTTTACAACAATGAAAATCTTCAGCATGGCTCTTAGAGAAAATAGCTTAGATGTTTTAAATATTACAAGTGTAAAACAATATAGCTTCTTCCACGATAAAACAGGTTGGTAATAATAACCCATTTGTCTTTTGAGTTCAATATGCAGCCTAATCTAAACATATAAAAACCAACTATATTGTAATTCTTCCAACTTATGCACAGCAAAAACTTTTATAATAGAATCAGTTCGAAATTTGCAAAGCTTAGCATTCTTGTTTGCATTTTTCAGTGATAAACTATTGATTACCTACTCAGCACACACACAAAAAAAAAAAGCTTTCGTCTAAAAAAAACATATTTCCTACTAATTGGGTTGAGATTTCAATTTCAGGTCTTTATTTCCATTTGCCTCCAGATTCAGGTCTGATTGAAAAGAAAGTGATCCAAATGAGAAAACAAATTGAAGCCAAACAAACGATGGCAGGATCTCCAATCCATAGTAAATTAGTTTCTTTAGAAGGTCTAATGCTAACCAGCATGCTTACTCCAAGTAAAATGACCAGAAACGAGTCTGCTTCACAATTTAAATTTCTGCCTTCTCGAGCTCTTTTGAATGATTTATTTTTGGCTTTTTAGTCATAGTTAGCCTACGTTTTCAATCGCTTGTGACATTAAAGCCAAACATTGGAGTATTCTCATATGAAATGCTTCTCTTCTGGGTTTTCTAATTAAACAATTGGTTAATTACAGATTTATCACAGCAAACTATAATTGCCAGCCTATCAAACAAATTCACATCTTCTCATTTCTGACATCTCATTTGTCGCAGTAATAGTCACGACCTCTAATTGATATTGATGTTTCTCACTGCCTGGTTCTTGTTTGCACTTGGGGTCTAATGACTTCTGTCCAATTACAGCTGGTTGAATTACAACCTCAGTCTTGTCTGAGGATAGGCGCATATATGCCTAAGAGAAGCACAATTATCATGCGAACATGCATTTCCACCACTCCTGGTTCCAGCCTGTGAAACAACGAGGGTGGATCTAGAAAATGATGGGGGGTGACATGAGGACCGTGAGAGAGTGGGGGGGGGGGGGAGAAACACGAAAGCAATACTCAAGCTACATTATATACTACATCCATACTATAATTAAAAACAAAATTCAGCCGCAAGCAGAAATCATCGGGGTGCAAACACCAATGTCCCATGTAAATGATTAATGATGCCATTGAAATGTATCTTATGATGTGTTTTGATTCAAGTTGGAAAAGTCTCGAATCTTCACAGAAAGTTAGGCAACAGCAACATACTGGTGTGTAAAGGGACAACTGAAATTCAAAAGAAATCACTTCCTCTTACTGATAGATTAAAAGACAAGTAAAAAAAAAATATAAAAAAATAAACTCAAACCCAGTATAAAAATGTTTACTGTCGTTTTAATAGATGTGGTGTGTATCAACATTTAAATTGAGATTAATCACATGTCATAGGATGCCACAGAACAATTTCATATCATTTGTTGCTCAAAAACTTGAAGCATTTTTTAAGACTTACTTAAGGCCCATTTCAATTAATGTTTTTCTTTAATATGTGTAGCCTAACCTTATGCTTGCAGTTTAAGTGTTTGCTTTATTATTAGAAAATAATAATAAAGATTATTATTATTAGAGATTAAAAAATTGCTTTATTATTATCAATAGAAAATAAGTGTCTCTATAGAAAATGTATAATCTTGAAAAAGACAAATAAAATGGTCTCTTCATTTTAAACGGACAGCGTTATATTTAATCATGTCTGTCAATAAAAATGTAATATTTAATGATATATAACCATTTCACATATTTCTATGTACACTAATTATATAAAACTATACTGCCATACAGATGAAATAGATCAATGTATTTAGTTCCATTCAAAGGGATGAAAAATTATAGAAAATTAGGCTTAAAATATTCCTTATCCTGTGGCTCCCCCTAGTGGACAACATTAAAATTGCAGCCTTCATCTTTCAGTTGAAATGGCTGATAGATTAGAATTTGCAGTTAGCAATATAAATTGATTTGGGGTCCAATTCACTTTCAGTGTTTGGACCCCTAAAAAAAAATCACATTCTTAATGTCTCTGAGCTTGTTAGAGTAAAGAAGAGTTAACTAATATTATGTAGGCTACTTTGATGACATAAAAATCAAGTTTTAGTGCATCAAATTTAAGAGCAACAAAAAAGTTTGAATTCGCTAGAAAAAAAGAACAGCAAAAATATCAAAGCAGAAATGAGACTTCTGAGACTTTCAACTAGTAACAACTCAGTCAAAATAAAGCGAGAAGCGTTGCGGAAAATAATACCGCAAAACCAGACTATACGAACGGGATTGGATTAAAGAACAAATGGATAAACAGTCAATTTGTTCGTGAATTGAGCTACACTGGTTGTGCTGTGTGTTTTTGACTCACAAAAATAACCCGTTCATAAGAATGAAGTCGCCTGTTAATGAAGTTGACTACACACATTGTGAGCATCCGGTGGAGCAGAAGTGTTTTCATGCCATTTTTTGAGGGTACATCTTTTTTTATGTCATCACATTAAAGCACAGCTGCTAAAAATGAAGTACAGAAAACATTATTTACATTTATATTTTATACTGGGATAAATCTGAGGTAGCAGATGGGGTGGCAATGCTTTTTCTTAGAGTGCCACCCCGGTAGATCCGCCCCTGGAAACAACATTGGAGTGTTCTTTATTATACTTCTTAAATAGTAGTTTCAATGGAGGAAACATGAACAATTGTTCTGTTGTTGTTGCTGTTTTTTTTTTACAATTTAATCACCAACAGTTCATCTAAAAAAGCTCTATGCAAGTTTCGTATAATTTCCCAGGCATGATGAAACAAGGGAAAATGGTTTCATGTTATGCAATGGGATAAAAGGAAGCATTTTATGGTTTTAAGAGCAAGTACATGTATGTATGCAGCGCTTCACAGATTCTGACTGCTTTGTTTATTTAAGTCAAAAGTGAATCGCCATTTGAAACCCATTTTACTTCCATAATTTGACATTTTCAAGTAAAGCAGGATATTAAAAAAGAAAAAAATGTAGGGCAGGAATTTCATCCATAAGGACCTGATGGCTCACTGGATGGTGAGAAGTGTGTGTCCCATACTAGAGTGTAGCTAGACTAAATGAAAGAATTAAAAATGGCCTAAATATCTATTTTGCTATTGGTTGACATTATCTAACAACTTGTGTAACCCAGTGTTGTTATTATTAACTAAAACAAACTAAAATTTAAAAATAATTTTCAGCAATTGAAATGAAGCTGAAATAAAACAAAATGTAAATATTAGATTAAAAACTTAAAACTTAAAAAAATAGAATAGTTGCCTTGACAAAGCTACAAAGTAATAAATAAAAAAAGAATAAAAAATATCAGACACTGATAACAAAATGACTAAAATTGTACTTAAAATCAAAACTGAAAAAACAAAACTATAAAGTAATTGGAAATATGAATAAATATTATTATAGTATAAAATGCTAAAAGTGACATCAAAGGAAAAGCAATGTGATTGCAAAAGGAAGAGCATTTTGATTAAAGATTATGAAAACAGATCTTTTGCTTGACTAACCAATTAATTATTCACTATATGACAAATTGTTCAATTGCTTTAAATGGCGAGATATACAGACTTACCTCCAGAATGCAAAGGTGTGCCACATAACAAAACAACCCCTTGGCCTTCCCTGACATTGACAGCACTTCTTGTCTGCGTTTTGAAGTTTTCCAGATCTGTAACAGATCAAATGTGGAAAAAAGTAAGCAGTGGAAAAGCAATGTTAACTGCAATCTTTTAGTAGCGCTCAAATTTCAGAAAGTAAAAAGAAGGAAACGGAATCAGGGATTGAGAAAAGTCCAAAGCATACAGTGGGTGTCTGACAATGCAGTCTAGTGAAACAGTATGAGGCTGTATGAAAAAAGGAATGCTAACGTTGCCTCCACCTACCAGCATCATTACCAGAGATATCCTAATCTCACCCACTGAGCCAGCAGCTTCCCTGTCAATACATGTCCACACGATTCATCCTCGCAAATTAACAGGAGGAGAGGAAGTTGGCAGCCTGCTCGTATACCTGGCATGATAAAAACCTTCTCCTTGTATCGTGACAGAGAAGGCCTTCTGTAACTGTGGCCTGCTGTGCCAATTCCACACCCTTAAGCAAACAAGCCAAGAGCCAGGCTCCCCAGCACAAAGAATATAGAGTCAATGTGACCGATAAGACAAATTACAGAGTAGGGGGGGGGGGGAAACAGAAAAACAAAACAAGCAGAAGAAAACATCAGGATTAGGGAGAGGTGGTGGAAAACAGTGAGAAAGATTAATGAGAGATCCCCTCCTGACTGAAAAGAAGTCCCACACAGTACTGAGCCGTGGTGGAAGTGGCAAGAGCAGGACTTGCTCGGCTCATAGTAACAGGATGAATGGCTTTAGAGCCTGAGCGGCAGAGCCACAGATGCTGATTAATGGTCTCTTGTGTTAAAATCTATAAGGCTGGACTCATGTGAAGGCTGTAGACTGGGTGGTAAGTCAGACATCTTCACAGTGAATGCCGTTGCTTCATAAATGGAAAACATTCATATGTGAGGGTCAAGATGTGAGCTTTTATGGATTAATTTTGAGAACGTTTATTGATTCTTTCTAATAAGATGGCGGAACTTTCAACTTTAAGATCCTGTTAAATTGCCCCTATTATGCTTTTTCGAATATTACCTTTCATGCAGTGTGTAATAGCTGTTTGTGAATGTACAAACTCTGCAAAGTTTTAAAGATCAAAGTTCACCGCAAATAAAGTTATTGTCTCCTAAAAGACATAAACAATTCTGAACTGCTGAAATGAGTCATCAGTAATTCCAGTTGTAACAATGTAACAAATTTGCAAAATGCCAGCCTGTGGTCTTCATTGGCTGCCCACGAAAGATGTCTACTCTGACCAGCCCTCAAACAATGTAGTTGTAGCTAAAGGCCTGGAAGAGTTGTCGACATTTCGAGAAGATGCTGTTTTCAGTCCTGCAAATCCACTTTGCATGCACTTCAAAAGGTTAAGTACTCATGCTGGAATCGACGCCGTCATTCGGATAACTGTGTTATCAAGCCTGGGGAAGCTTCCGGAGCTGAAATTTAGATTTGGTAATGGGCGTTTTGTTTCCAACATGATCTGCAAACGGTAGGCCAATCACTACAGACTTTGCCGTCTGACCACTCAGAGCAGAGTAGGGTCGTGGAAAGGAGGAGTTTAGAGAGGCTTCGATCTAACCGTTCTCAGACTCTGAGAAATGATGATGTACAATGTTGTTTGTCTAAACAAACAATGATAAATTGAAAACTAAATTGAAATGGCAAATTGTAAAACAAATTAAAAATGAATTAAATTGAAATAGATTAAACCAATAATAACCATAGTTGCTAGGGCATCGTGGTTGCTGTTCTAATCATTTTTATGCGATTGCTAAATGGAGTGGCTTTTAGTGCATTGCTAGGTTTTCTGGGTGGATGCTGGTGTATTGAGGGGTGATAATATACAAAAACACAAATTAAACATGCATATGATCACCCCATCACAATATATATGTCTACTGGTTAATGATCCGACTAATCCCAGTTGTCACAACTAGGCTTTGAATTCTAGAGAGCTTCTGTGAGCCACGCTTTGTCAGGTCACAAATCTACTCTGCTGCTATTGCACCCTTGAGAAAGGTACTCATTTCAAACTCGCCCCAGGAGAGGATTACCCCAATACACAGCCAATAGAAAGCCACTGTGGAATAAATCTCCCAATGACAAATTTTACAGCATGTATTTCACACTGGCTTGCAAACGCAACGGGATGCAGTTTTCAACAGCTGTCTGAAAGATAAGAAATGCCACAATGACATATTATCAAAGCCAGCGGCATTATCATCTTATTAAAATCATAATTTCCCTTTGACTAACCAATGATCAATATAGGAAATAAATGTCAAGCAAGTCCTGTTCACCAATGCCCTGAAGTGAGATTCATTATCCCACCCATAAAGATGATAATCTGTCTCCTAAGGGGGACGTATGATGCTCTGTGTGGATCAATAGGTAGACGGCATGAGAGTGAGGAGTCTTCGAGACAGACAAAAGAAGTCCGTGGTCAGGTGTGTTCTCATCTCAAACAATCCTTCTCCCATCTCTGAGAAAACCTGACTTGAGCATCTGATTTCTTTGAGCATGCACAAGGACAGCATTTTAAATCAAAGGCACAGAGGCCAGGTGGATAGATGGCTATTCTCATACTTGGCAGTTTACTTTGTGGAGCAGACAGTACGGGTATTAATATTGCGAGTCAATTCGTAGCGTACAAAGATGCTGTTGAAGTTTGAAGTCGATGAAATGGTGCTTCACCCTGTGAAATTGTCACATTTGACAGCTCGTTTGATTGCTCTTTCTTAAGCAATGCCATGTGAATACCAAATACCAAAGCTGGTGCTTTTACAATGTCGCTTATATACATCCAAGCGCTCCTCCCAGATGCCATTGTTTGGACACATTTTTAATCCTGCCCCAAACTCAATGGCATTGATTGAGCTAATCTATATTAAGGTTCGCATCTTCTTTCTTTATTCCAGAGCATTTGATGTTTTGTATTTATTATATTTGAATTGATTATGAAATTGGCATGATACATTTACCTGACATAATAAATTACATGATGCGGAGTGTCTTGCATACACTCTGCATCACGGGCTAATTTGAGTTACAAATCGCCACGAGCCTTCTTCAGCATCTCCCTAAATACTCAGACCAAGGCAGAAACCTCTTTTCAAATGTAAACATGAGTTCACAGTGGGAATCTGCATTAATCACCATCCCAGACTTACTGGGGACAGAAGTTGATTGACAAGGGGGCACATCCACAGCAGTTAACAAGATATCTCTAAACTCTCCACACCTTATTACCTTTTTGGTTTACTTCTGTGGGAATGAGACCTTTGTACCATTTGAACTGAGACATTTTAAATGATACCAAACATGTATAATACTGTATGATAATTATTCATATTAAACCATATAGATCTGTGGGTGAATCCAGGTAGGGATGGGTGAAGGGAATGTGTAAATTGGGAGGTGATCAACTCAATCGTGTTTCGAGAAAGTTTCAATTCTTAATTTTTTTTTTTTTTTTTTTTTATCTGACCCCAATCTTTTGAATGGTAGTCTATGTATGTGTATGTATGTATGTATGTATTGTGGCTTTCGAAAAACATATTGTTGAATACATTAACTGACATCTTTAAAATTGTATGCGTTTGCATTACTCACATGCAAATTGTAGTGTGGCTCTCTTGCTGAGAATGGTTCCCCGGGCGTTGGAGGCAGTGCATTGGTAGACACCACTGTCTTGGTCTCGATCCAGGCCAGTAATGATCAGGTTACCTCCAGACAGGCGACGCCTCTCGTCACCATGAAGATCAATGAGCGTTCCGTTTAGAGACCATCTGGAGAGACGCAAACACAATCAGGAGTGTGGTCTCCTGAGAAGCTAACTAACCAATATCCATCACATGCATCGATCTGATGAAGCCAGCTTCATTATACAGCCAGATTCAGCATGAAACAAAGCTCATTGCTGACATTTGTTTTCCTTCTTTGTTCTTCTGCAGTACAGTCTGACTAATAACTGATAAAAGCAAGCAAAACAGCACTCAAGAATCAGAAATGCCTAATTATTTATTGACCCTGAAGATGTGCAATGTGTAGTTGTGAGAAGGTTGGTTTTACCTTCTAATTATAAAATAAAGCTTTCACACTCAACTATGAAAGGTTCATTATTTTTCAGTGTGATTTCAGTTATTTAGCAACACTTGCATGTGTAATATACAAATTTTCAACATGGAGTGTGAAGAAAAAGAGCAAATTAGCAACTCGGGACAGCTTGACAAAAAAATAATGTGATATCTTAAGAATATTCGGAATGCAGTAATCATTGCTGGTTGCTAAAGGATTTCATTTTATACAAAATGTATGAACATCTGATCCCAACTTTTAAAGGAAGTATGAAGTTAGTTCACCCTCAATTGTAGCAGACATGTTGGACTATGGCCATGTATAACATTCAGAAAACACATTTTATGTAAGATGCTTGAAAAATGTGCTTGAGCTTTAAAATAAAAGCCATTTGGTTTAATATTTTGTTATCTAATGCAATGACGTTCCTACATTCCTACTTTCTGAGCCACTGTACATCAAAGAAGGCTGTAATTTTGTGGGTTTATATTGTTTTCTACTTAAACAGTAGGATAATCATATTACAAAGAGGCACATTTTCCATCAGAAAACCAACATAACCAATAAGCACAATCATAAAATGTATACCAACTTATGTAGCATGGAAAAATGCATAAATTTGTACCTTTTCAAGATATTCAATATCTAGAACTTTACTATTCAGAATTGACCTTGAAGTTGTTGTGCTAAATCAGACATTTGTAGTTTGATGAAGTCAAAACTTGGCAGAAGAGAATTGACAGAAACAATGGGGAAAAGGGTGTTGGCAGGATGTACATTATTCCACTTGTGTGAAAAAAAAACGAGTGGGGTGGACAACGCGGTTTCTCCCAGATCTGACAGACAACAAAGCATAGATCTACTGCAGCTCTTCGAAGCCCATTTCTACTACATTATTTATAGATCTCAGTGTGGCAGGCGAGTTAATCTGACTCCTTTAGTCATCATTTGTGAGTCTAATATCATAGCCAGCCACTGTATTTGATATCATTTACTGTGACATTCGGCCTGCAGGGTTACACAGTTGATTACTGCGAGGCTGCTTGCTGTAAATACAGACAATATTTGTGTTCTCACAAAGTAGTCAAATATTATATTACAACATCAAACTAATCTAGTTTTCCATTACACTTTCAATAGCGTGATAAATCAACAAAGCTCCTACATCTAACATACGGTGGGGTCTTGTGTATATAAAATGAATGAAATAACTGGTCTATTATACTGAAAGAATCTAATATCATCTGTGTTGGTACATATTCGCCAGCACAAAATAATGTTGTCATCAATTTATCTGGTTCTCAAACAATTTAGGCAACTTTGATCAGACATCCACAGACCACCTGAACACAACAACAGTTCCTCAAATTTCTTTCACAAACGTAATGCTTGTGATCTCGTTGTCACTAGTCACATGTCTTCCTTTGTTCTGTTTTCCCGCCACTCATCTGTTTCCATGGTTACTGTCCTTTAGTTCATCTGCATCACCTGTGTTTAGTTAATCATCATCATCATCTGTTTCACCTGTGTTCTGTCAATCAATTTTCATCTGTGTTTGTATTTAGTTCCCTTCTGTTCAGTCAGTCTTTGTCCGTTCTCCATCCTACTACGTGTGTGTATCTTCTGCCTGTCTGTACCAGTTTGAGTTATAGGCTTATTGTTGTAAGTAAACGTTTTGCATTGGAACTTTGGACTCCTCATCTTCTTCTGCCTGCACCACACCCTAACAGCATGCTTGGGAAATACTCTTACCAAAACCCGTTATTATAACTAAAATAAGCATTTAAGATGAATCATGATGCTGTAAAACCATCATTTGTGTCCTGACTGGCCATTTTGCAGATCTATGCAAGAACCCTACAAGAGCAGCATCTGAAAAACATGAGTTAATATGCAGATTTTCCACTCTTTATAAGTGGTATAGTCTTGGCTCCGTTTGTTTCATTGCCTCAGCTATAACTGTTTAAATATTTTTTTTTTTCAGTTTCAACTAGAGGATTGGATATATCACAGCCCTCGGATGGGAGCAACTTCTGATGGATCAATAGCCATAGAATAATATGGAAATATGAATTATTGATTTCTAACACGTGCTGAGATGTTGTATGAGTATATACGGTCACCTTTCAATGATGACAAATAATTTAATGCTAATAAAAATATCATGTCCTCTTCCAACCTTTCTCCCCCCATCCCCTCTCCCCCACCCCCTCCCCCCTCTTCATATTATATAAATTATAAAAATAATCTATCATAAATCTTTTTTTTTTCTTTTTTCAAAAGTACAACTCATTTCATTAACTATACATTTTCTAGTGAGGGGGCTATAATAAAAAATAAAAAAAGTATCTTTAAAGTTGCAATGCAATGTATGTAGAGTCAGATCTTTTCTTCCGTATTGTAATGTGTATCCGAGTGAAATGGTTTATCGAAAAGAGAAAAAAAATGTCGGGCGGGGCAGTTACTGGGGCAGTACCTCAAAAGTACCCTCGTATCTACCTATACAGGGAATTAGTACCTTAACGGTGCATTTTGCCGTTTCCATGATGTGATGACACCTATGGCTTTATCCGTGCTCCTGTTGGCTGTTTACCTGGTTCGAACACTTTTGGAGACATGTAAACATTACCGGTACAAATCAGTACCCTTTGAATGCACAAAGCACATTGAGTCTGCAATGCAATGTATGTAGAGTCAGATCTTTTCTTCCGTATTGTAATGTGTATCCGAGTGAAATGGTTTATCGAAAAGAGAAAAGAGAAAAAAAATGTCGGGCGGGGCAGTTACTGGGGCAGTACCTCAAAAGTACCCTCGTATCTACCTACCTATTGTAATGTGTATCCGAGTGAAATGGTTTATCGAAAAGAGAAAAGAGAAAAAAAATGTCGGGCGGGGCAGTTACTGGGGCAGTACCTCAAAAGTACCCTCGTATCTACCTATACAGGGAATTAGTACCTTAACGGTGCATTTTGCCGTTTCCATGATGTGATGACACCTATGGCTTTATCCGTGCTCCTGTTGGCTGTTTACCTGGTTCGAACACTTTTGGAGACATGTAAACATGTTTATCCGACACCTACGGCTTTATCCGTGCTCCTGTTGGTTGTTTACCTGGTTCGAACACTTTTGGAGACATGTAAACATTACCGGTACAAATCAGTACCCTTTGAATGCACAAAGCACATTGAGTCTGCAATGCAATGTATGTAGAGTCAGATCTTTTCTTCCGTATTGTAATGTGTATCCGAGTGAAATGGTTTATCGAAAAGAGAAAAAAAATGTCGGGCGGGGCAGTTACTGGGGCAGTACCTCAAAAGTACCCTCGTATCTACCTATACAGGGAATTAGTACCTTAACGGTGCATTTTGCCGTTTCCATGATGTGATGACACCTATGGCTTTATCCGTGCTCCTGTTGGCTGTTTACCTGGTTCGAACACTTTTGGAGACATGTAAACATTACCGGTACAAATCAGTACCCTTTGAATGCACAAAGCACATTGAGTCTGTTTATCTTAAAAGATTCAAAAGACCCTAATATCATATATATATATATACTCTGCGTCTCAAAGATTATTTATTTATTTTCCATGGATGAAGTAGTCTTTGAATTCAGTTCTATTTGAAGTCATACTAAAGGACCACAATGGTCAAAATCACAGTGGTAGGTTAAGGTAACAGAATTCAGCCTGATGGTAATTGCTGCATGAATGACTGTTTTTAAAGGCTAGACAAATAGTTACAAACAATCCGGTCTCCAAGGAGCCCCTTAACAAGAATCAAAAAGGCTTAGTAGTGACAGGGAGCCAAAGTATTTTCAGATAATGAGTATAAAAAAGTTCTCTGAGAAGTTTAATGGACAATTATGCTGCCCCCGCACAGCAAACTGTCCAAGCCTCCATCAGCATCACTGTCGCTATGATCCTCACCGCTATTATTACTGTCACTATTAGCATCGCCTCATAAAAATTATCATTATAATCTCTATGTTATTTCAGACTACATTAACAAACTGCCCAGAGACAAAGCCTACACCTGGTCATTAGAAAAAAGTATCACGAAAAATGGATGTGAAAAGTGCAAAAAATAAAAAACAGTCAGCTCCAATTATCTTTCCAAAAGAATGCTCCGCACTTCTTCTTACATCCGGGAAAGCAACCTGCATTCAACAAAGATCATGGTAGAGCCGAGCTAATGAGGGCCGACACAGGAGCACCTCTGACTTTCTCAGTGTAATCTCTGCATTTTAACCAGCTCTCCTTCACTTTCTCGTCTCTGATGACTGCCTGCTCCATGGACCAGGTTTCATATCCTTACAATCTCAAAAGCATGCTGGGCAGGTTCAAAAACCTGTCAGGTTAAGTGTAGGTTGGGAAAACAGATTCTTGGCTGTTTCAAAGGTTTTAAAACAGCCCCAAAGGGAGGCTTAAAGTGAGTAAAACAGAACTTTTCGGCACTAACAACGCCAAGGTCATGGGTTTGATTCCATAGGAAAGCATAAGCTGATAAAAATTGTATAGCCTGAATGCAAGTAGTTGAAACTAATGTAAAACTTACATGTAAATAATTGCTGTATGAGTGCTTGCCGACCACAAGAGCCCACAAAGGATTGTGTCATGGAGTCATGGCTGTCCTATGGCCTCAATTTGCCTCACAGCTTGCTTTTATGCCTCCCTGTGGACACTAACACATTAATGCTACTTCACTTTGCTGGACCAAAAAGAACAAACCACAGAATACTAGAGAGAGACAAAGGTCAGTGTTTTTATGGCATTGTACATTTTACGCTAAATGTTGGCATGCTTTTGCTCTGTGCTTTTAAATGATAAGAGCTAAATGTTATTCACAGCGCGGACCAATTATCTATGGGGCGGATGAAGCCTTGTTACATGCAAGTGGCATGAAGCCTTGTTACATGTAATAAAGCACAGCAGCATGTTCTGTAGATGTGCTAAATATTATCACTTTAGCTACACATCACAGGGCACTAAATCTGTGTGAGACATTTGAGCTCTACTGAGAATTTTTTATCTTTAAAGCAGGAAGTCAAATAACTCTGCTAAACACCTTAAACAGCTAGACAGCCTTAGCAAACAGCACTGACATAAAGTGGAGAAACACCAACAGAATTGAAGGCTTTTCAAACTACACATCACCACCCTTACAACAATTTCTCATGGTTAAACCTTAGTAACAGAAGCCAGGCTATTTCCACAGAAATATATATTAGGAGGAGGAGGAGGAAATCTATTTAATTTTTATTACATCTGTGATTCTACAACTGTGAAATTTAGGAGGAAGGCTTTTTGGAAACATAAATCATATTTAAATTATACTTCTTTCATTAGAAGCAAAGTCAGTTGTGATCTAGTCAAGGGTACAGTCGGAACTAGATTTATTAACATTCACTAATATACACTACCGTTCAAAATGGTAAAAAAAAAAAAAGAATACTTTTATTAAGCATTTATTTTATTAATAAATGCTGTTCTTTCTAGTCATCAAAGAATCCCAAATTGGTTTAAACAAAAATATTAAGCAGCACAACTGTTTTTAACATTGATAATAATAATAAGAAGAAGAAAAAATGTTTCTTGAGCATCTAATAAGCATATTAGAATGATTAAAGGATCGTGTGACACTGAAGTAAGGATGCCGAAAATTCAGCTTTGCTTTCACTGGAATTGTTTTGTTTGTTTTTTATTTTAAAAAGTTTTTTAAACATTGTAATAATATTTCACATTATTACTTGATTTTTTACTGTATTTTTGATCATATAAATGCAACCTCGGTGAGCATAAAGGAATTAATTTGGAATTAAAAACTTTTGATTTGGTATATCATTTCTTGGTTCTTATATAATCCTAGACGTGCAAAAGACTACAGCAACTCAATTTTCTTTACAAAGCTTTCTTGAGAGAAGAGCCGAAGCCAGCCAAGTGCACTTCTCTGACTCAGCTCTGAGTTACTTTTCTATGGAATCTGAAACTGAGATGCAAAATAGCCTGGCGCGTTGTGTTCTCAAAGTTCACACCGGCCCCTGCAGACACTGAAATACCACCAGTCTCTGTTGGAACACTGACGATTTCTTTTGACAAAGAAAGTAGCGGGATGCTCATTGGAGACTCTTCTTCCTCTTACTGTTTTGCAGCAGAATTGGCCAACCTTCAGACAACATTAGCTGCCTCAACTGTTCTTTGCTAACACACTTGAAATGACTGCTGGGGTGGACTGAACTTTGCGGGTGCCTCTTGACCAGATGGGATGTTATAAGACGACACGCCTTGAAGAATTTAATGTCAGAGAGAACTCAGCAAATGTCTCTTTTTTTAAGGTCAAGAAATTATCTTTAGAGTGTCTTCAATCTTATCAGTGTCTGGGTGTATTGTTGTAAAGTTCATTGAATGATTGGTGTAGGTTTTATCAGACACAGAAAGAGAAAATGTTCCCAGAAAGCAAGACAATACACAGCTGGTACAAGTGTTGGGGAAACTTCTTTGAAACTGTAGCTTGCCAAATTTTTAATAGAGTACATTTTCATATTTAGTACATTAGTTGTAGTATAGTAACATGTTTTTTTTTTTTTTATATCACCAATACAAACTACTAAAAATGTATAACTATCAAATGACAATTTATGATATTATCAAAAAATGGCACCAAAAAAAATCTCAATTAGGGTGACACGTTAAACTTGAACAGATACATTTACTCTAAGCACAGATTTTTTTTTTTTTTGAAATGTACAACTTGAACAGATGCAACTAAAAAGAGAGAGTTGAATCGATAGCAATGTACAAAATTATAAATAATTAAATTGAGGATTTATTAAGAAAATATATTTACATTTTTATTAAAAAATCGTAAATAATTAATTCAATTAAAGAATTAAAATTGTGCACAGAAAATCTGTGCATTTTTTTGTTCATTTACAAGAACGGTACGAACTAATTCATTACCACTTTCCAATACTTTATTAGGTATTGCAACATTTTTACTCATTCGAAAAAGTAGTTTGTTACCAGAAAGGATTTTATTTTAAAAACAACTGAACTACTGTCATGCTACTGACAAATGTAGTTAGTAGTGCCGCTACTTTCATGGTTTCACAGTTTCCTCTCTTTTACTGTACAAAAAAAATGAAACAGTTATATGTACAAAATGTTTAGAAGCAATCACACACTCAGCTGGTTCAGGAAAATGATTTTTATGACAATCCAAAACCAAATATCCGTGAGAAAGGAATTAAAGAATTAAGGGAGTGCAGTGTACTTCAGTGTGACAAAGCTGAAAATGACTATTTTGCATGTTGTTGAATATATGCATAAGCCTCTTCATTTCCTTTCCACCAGAGTTTATTTATGGTTACATATCTGCATAAAAAAAACAGGATCTGGGTCGAAAGTCAAACTTATTCGACCTTGGAGACTCTAGCTGTATTGTTTGTTCAAAAGTAAAGGTAGCATGACTTAAACTGTCAGTGTGCTCTTCTTCCTTTTGATACCCTCGTAATGTTCAGTTAAATTGGTGTTTTCCGCAAAGATGCACTAAAGGGAAATGTAAGCGTTTAAATCGAATGTCACTCACAAGGTTATTATTTCCCTCCCTAGTGCTTGCCTGAGCATTTACATGATGCTGACCCAAGCTACGAAACACAATATACCACAGAGCTATAGAGCACACTGCTATTTTCAGAGCAGACGCCTCACCAGGGAATATGCGGGACAGTATCTTAGAATCTCTAGCACAAATTAGTCATTTAGATCCCTCCCAATTTCAAAGCCAATTTCCGTCCTTACAGTAGCATGCATACCCCTCTTAGAAAGATAAATTTGGAATGCTAATTCCTAAAGCTCTTGCTGAGATGTGTACACAGAGTAATGGATTGTTGAACATATCTTCGGAAGTAGGCTAAATTGCCTTTTGTAATTTTTTTTAGATCAGTCTTTAGCGAAGCTAGTTGATGCACATTTAAAATTGTTGACACTGGTGAAACTCTGGAAAGCAAATGAAAATGGGTCACAGTCGGATACCACTGGGATTGGCTGCTAGGAATACAGTAGTTTACTGGATGTATGCAATGGCAAACCCTGAGGACAGATAAATTGCCTCTCACCTGGAAAATCAATAGCAATCGGTGCCAATCCTTTTCAAGTTGATCCTTACGGGAATAAGCTGCCAATTTGCCAAAACCAACTGCTTAAATGGTTTGTAATAGCAATGAAAGGATGCATAAACTGGTAGCATTCCTACCTGTACTGAGGGGAAGGGACTCCAGATGCCTCACAGGTTAAAACGGCCTCCTGCTCAGGGGAATGGATGGGCAGTATCAGGTCCTCTGGTTCTGTTTTCCACCTTGGACCAATAAACTTTGTGTCTTCTGCTTGTGCTGATGAGACTGAGACAGAGGAATCCCATTTGTTTTACATTTAAGTAAAATTTACATTTACATTTAGGGAGAGTCATCATTTACTCACCTTCAAGTTGTTCCAAACCTGTAAGACTTTCTTTCCTCTGCGGAACGCAAAAGAAGATATTTTGAAGAATTTGGGTAACCAAAAAGTTGATGGGCCCCATTGACTTCCATCCCCATTGACTTCCATATACTATGGAAGTCAATGGGACCCATCAACTTTTTGGTTACCCAAATTCTTCAAAATATATTCTTTTGCGTTCCGCAGAAGAAGGACATTAATACAGGGGTTGAAACAACAATAGGGTGAGTAAATTATGACACATTCATTTTTGGGTGAAATATCCCTTTAAGGAAACTCAGAGGATTGGATGCATAAATGTATCTCAATGATCCATTTAATATCCAAATCTGGTGTTTGTTGTGATAAGTCTTTAACCACAAAGACAAAACAGAGATCAAAGCATTATAATATATTACAAACGAGTATAGTGCTTATATTATAAAATATAGTGCTTGAATAGATAAAAAAATGTAACTGATGCAAAACGGCAATATTGTTTGATTATATTGTGCATGCTTTGACAGCTGCTTTCATTAGAGAAAGCTGAACATATCCAGAACTACAGTAAATAATTTACATATCTTTTGCAAGAATTTTATCTAAATAAATTCAAAACACTTGCAGTCATTATTTTCTCTGTATTCATTAATATTATACAGTACACCCTGCAGTCATATTTGTGAGACAGCCAGAGAATTCTGCAAACATGCTGAAACCCCACACTACAGGAAAATACACTCCTGTGTCAGCTGCTGTTGTGGAAATATCAACAGAAAAAAGTTGTGCGTTTCATTTCTGAAATTACACACCATTACTATACGTTATGTGATGCATGTACTGGTTATAATTGTTCTGTGTTTTGGTTTCATGAATACAAGATGAAAAGAAAATGATTAAGTCTTTATTTCTCCACACAATACGATCCGCACTCTCATTAATCAAATGTTACTTCTGTTATAAACACTGCCACCAATGAACAGAAATAAGTGACGTCTGTGTTCCATTTGTAATCAACTGCATCCAGAGAGGCAGGAAGACGCAGCAGTTTCTAATAAGATACAGACAAGTCACAAGCCTCCATCCCATAATCATCTTTGACAAACAAGGGTATTGGCAACCTACCTGTCCTGCAGCCTTTGTGGAGATCAACCATAAATAGATACATAAAAGGACTGGAGAGTGAAAAAATATATTATATAAACCCTACTGTTCACACAGGGGCGCAACTACCCCGTGTCAGAGGGGTAGTTGCCCCCCCCCCCCCCCCCCCCCCTCAAAAAAAGAAAAATAAATAAGTGTGCCATGTAATAAGTGAGTAGGAACGAGTGAGAGCTAACAGATAAAAGTGCAAAATTGTCATTTATTAATACAATTAATCTATAGCTACTCCACCGTGATGAACCCCCCTAAAAAACTATAAGCTCCATTGGAACAGCAATACCAGAGTTTGTCACAGGATTTTAGGTAAAACTGTGGTAGGTGGACCTCTGTTTCTTTAGGGGGGTTCGGGGGCATGCCCCCCGTAAGAAAATTTTGTGTTCTTTAATGTTAAATTCAGCAGTCTGGTGCACTTTGAGAGTTCAAAATTAAAAGCTCGAACCCATATTCAGGGTGCAAATTAAACAAAGAAAAATTCAAACCTCTTTTAATTAGTGTCTGTCTACATTACACAACTACATAATAATAGTTATAATATTAATCCCATGATAGTTATAGCCATAGGCCTATATTGTAAAACAAATGCACTAAAAAATAAATGAAACTTTTTTTTTATAATTAGTTTTGTACTAATTTCTATACTTGAAAGATATAAGCACATGATGAAAAAAATTATGTGTCAGAAAAAAAAACTAACACTGACTTTTTTTGACCAATGCATTACACCGGCACTAACCCAGTCAATTAAGCAAAAAAAAAAAAAAACAAAAAAAAAAAACGAATGGGCCGCCGATGTACGAATTTTATTTTACGAATTCTACTCGTACCTGCTCGCTCAGCGCTCACGGCGCCCCCGCCCGCTCGCGATATCACCCCGCCCCCCTTCTCCATGAGGGCGCCTACTCTAGCCTAATTTTATATAACTGAAGAAATGCAGAAATGATTTAAAAAACGCACAAAAGCAGTACAATATATATATATATATATATATATATATATATATATATATATATATATATATATATATATATATTTTACCATCGCTTTGGCGCCCCCCATGGTGCTGCGCCCCTATGCGCCGCATATAGCGCATACCCACTTTTTGCGCCACTGTGTTCACATGTTTGGGTTCAGTAAGATTTTCGCTTTTGGAAAGAAATATTGACATGAGGTCATTGTACTAAAAAAAAAGTCCTTTTAAACAGCTTTTATTGAAACCAAGCTCTGAGGATGACTCGTTTCGGATTTTGTCACATTATTCGTAAGCAGCAGCACAGCATTGATAATAATGTTTGATTTCTGAGTAATAATTAATGATTTCTGAAGGAGCATGTGATATTGAAGACTGGAGTAATGGCTGCTGAACATTCAGTTTAGCTATCATCGGAATAAATTGCATTTTAAAACGTATTTAAAAAAAACCCAGTGACTTTAAATGGTAAAAAAATTTCTCAATATTACTGTATGTTTAATTAAATAAGTGAGCAAAAGAGACAAAAACAATACATTTCTTAACAACCCCAAACTTTTGACCAGTACTATAGATATATAACGACAAATAACTTGAGGCTCAAAATTAGGGTTAGGTGTTATTTATTTATATTGTGTGTGAGTGGTGATTTCCTGTTAAAGTTTAGTATACTTAAAAATAAAGGATTACTTCCTCAATATATTTATTTTCTGGATATAATATAATTCAATTCAACGATATTCAAAACAACAATATTCTCAAGATGACTGTGTGTATCAACTCATCACACCTTGTCTCAAACCTCCACCGAGGACTGAATGAATCGAAGGCTTACGATCGTAATGAAATTGTTTCTTGCATGACAGTCCATTGCAACACATTCAGAAAAAAATAGAAAAAACAGCAGGACAATAATTTACCTGTGAGGCAGCCAATGATTGATAGCACCACAAGTCGTTTCCATAGTAACGTCATCTTTAGTTGCCAAGGGCAAGTATGACTCTCATCCAATTGCTTGTGAATGGAATGATTTCTCCCTTGAATGTGAGAAGTATAATCTGTGGGGGGAAGTAATTACAGAAATAATTAAAATAAGACATTTTGATGCATATATGACAGACGTGCTGCTTCTATTGACAGATCTGAAAGATTACACTCCTGTTTAAAAGCGACCACCTTGACTGTAGGAACAAATGCTGGTGAAATGTTGTTGGATCAAAGAGAAAGTTAACAACTGAGGTTTTTTTTTTTATGTGACAGCAACTAAAATATTAAAGCTCTGCAAACAAAAGCCCTGGGAGACTAGAGTCAAAAATGTGCAGAAAATCAATGCAATGATATTTTGAGTGTAAATGACAGATGGAAGTGTCGCTTCGATGGAAGAATAAAACAAGAAGAAGACAGTTAGAATCCCCCAACTGTTAACTCCTTAAAAAATATTCATTGCACATTTAAAAGAAAGTAACAACTGCTTTTGAGAATTTCTGCTTTTGTTGTGAAGCCTGATGCAGTCTAAATTATGCATTATTATTCTCAATACCAAAGAAACAAACAGAAACCTGCAACATCAGAGAAATCAGGGGGCTGGAATTTGTTGACCTCAAAAGCTACTTTCTCTCGACTATTAATAGGAGCTAGAAGCCAACCTAAATACTGTTAGTCGCTTTCACTAGCACATAGAATTCCACCCACATATACAGGCAAAATGACATCTTCGGAGGCCCTGCGTAGGGTTGAATCTGACACAATAATTCGCAATGACTTCTCGGAGGACCTTTCATTTTGATTACCAGAAATGCAGCCATTTACATTTGAGGTTTATGCATGTTTCAATTACAATGGGATGCCATCTTGCAGGAAATATTCTTGCATTCGAAATGGGGCCTCAAAGTGTTTTTTTTCTTTAAAAAGTTAAAACTTTAAACTTTCCCATTTACACCTGGTATTTTAATCCGTCTCTATTCTGTCCTCATTTCTTCTATAGATGGAAAAACATATTGAGAGTATTAGCTTTTGTTTCTGCTCTGATAGCCTCAAGACCATGACGAACACTGTGAGTGTGTGTTAGAAATCAGGAATGGTGGGAGAACATTGTGCTTGGTATGTTTTTTGTCCTCAAACCAATTTTGGATCTTCAGCTGACAAAGTTGAAATCCCATCTGGCTAGCGAGCTTCCCATAATGTTCCTCGCATTAGTCTTTTGTGGCTATTCGAACGCTTTTGACCATGCAAGCTTTTACACTACGAAAGCAATCCGATCGAAACGCGTTTTCGACTACCTGAAAGTGGTCAAGCTCAAAGCGTTTTAGACCCCATTTACACCCGTATAAGCTTCGTCCCCTTGTGATCTGATCGACCAAAACGCATCTTAATACCAGTGCCTAATAACAGAGCCTTCGTGAATTATCAGTTTTCAAAGAACATATTGATACAGTTAATCTTGATTCATTAATTCATTGGCGAAAAGCCAGAGTAATTCATCTGATTACAATGTTTAATTGACTGACATTCCAAACTTTTGATAATGTTGCACAGTCACAGCTAACATAAAATGAATTTGAAAGTACACTCTTAAAAATAAAGGTTCCAATAGGTGGTGTTCACAGCAATGCCATAGAAGAACCCTTTTTGGTTACCCAAATAATCTTTCAGTGAACAGCTCTTAAAAGAACCATTTTTTTTCTTAGTGTGACGAACATTTTAATATCTAAAGAAAATAACCTGTTTCCTCTATAAAGATCTTTCTGTAAAATGGAAAGGTTCCAGGATGTTAAAGGTTCTATATGGAACCATAGATGCCTAAAGAACCTTTATATTTAAGAATGTATATCGATAATAGATCATCTATTTCAGTTATTATTCACTAGTAGTGATGCTTTATATGTTGCTCTTTTATATGCTATCATATGGGCATTGGGATCAAAAAAAGATTACAAAAGATTTTATAACATTTCATGAGGAGCTCGCTCCTGTTAGTATTTTTGAGATTTTCTTTTATTTGCTTCATATTGCTTTGGAAATCCCTAACTGTCACAGATCCAGCTCTATGGCCTGAGGCAATATATTTTTTTTCTGTCTACAGAGCCAGTTAGTCAGCCTTTTTTAAACACCCTGAGGCTTAAAACCATTTGTATACACCCTTTTCTTAGTTCAGATTCATAAAGCTTACTCATTTCTGGAATACTGGCCCTTTAAATCAATAAATGCATGAAGGCTTAGAGGAAGGGTAATCTGCTATCTTTGCACTATACTTGCATAATCTTCAGATGAGCCCCTTGTTTAGCGCTGTATCCTAGTGGGGATAACTGCTGGGTGTCTGTCATAATTGCAGGGACAGGGGGTCTCTGGGAGGATTTGCCTGGCGTCTCTTAAGTTTGGGGGAGCATTATGCCGCAGGAAACTCTGTCAGATTGGATTACACAGCTCGGCTTTTTACACAGGACAAGAGGGAAGAGGAACTGTAGCTACAGTCCTCCCATGAAAAGCATTTCAGTTGTCATTGTTTCTCATTGTGACCCCTGTATGTAACCTGTAATTTTTTCAGTCAATAAATTAAACTCAATTTCACTAGTACATTCAGTTTCATTTATTGACATAAAATCCATGTTTAATGTCATAGTTTCATCCCTACATCTACTATAATAAAATATATTGTTAGTCTCGAGAGTATTTACATTAGTGAATACATATGTAGATTATAGATTTGTTTGTCCAAATGGACAGGTAGTTGCATTTTCGTTAAGAGTGCCAGAGGTTCTGGGGTCACATTTGTTCTCATTAAAACCAAAGATGTTCATCAGTGATTGTATATCAAGAGCAGGGACACTTTTTGTGCAGTTTGTTTTGTGATTTCACCGGAATGAATAGAGAGTTAAGCGATATATTGAAGCGCTCGACTGTGTGAAGACATGCATTGCATGAGTGCCAATAGAACACTGTTGCCTTCCGCCACTGATAACAGCGTGGCAACAAGCACTCAGCATGATTTAAAAAACAACACATTCCACTGCCAGAGCGCTTATTATTTAACACTAACGAACAAATTGCTAATCAACTAGAGAAGTTTTTTGTTGTATTATGTACTTCAGTGCTGCGAGATGTTTAAAAAAATTGGTGGGGACAATATCAACCCATGGCAAAAAAGTGGTGGGGTGTCCAACCCACAAATTACGCTTATGCCTGCATGCAACCCCCCAAAAAGTACACTAACAGGCACATCAACAAAATAAAGGACAACCCACATCTGACAGCAAAGCTTTCAAGGGCAGATTTCTGTTGAAAAAATGTGGGTTAACAAAAATAGATGTAGTTTTCAAATAGCTTGCATGTCACATCCAGCAACACGAGAGACAGGGCATGAATTGCAATTACAATTAATCTCTCATGATCCTCCCAAAAAACTGAGCAGGGGTGTGATTTTTCCACAAGCTTCCAACCAACTTATTAAGCAAAATGATGAGCATTTGGCTGGCAAATATAATGAGGCAGTGCAGCATCACCTCAGCAACAGTGCTATGCACCATTGCATGCTTCTATTGCACCAGAAAATGAGATCACTACTTGGTTAGCATGAACATTGTTTTGGCATATATATTTGATATAAGAAGTGGTTAAAGGCATATGTTTTGCCCCAAGAAATGATTGTAAAGGATCAAAGGTCGGTATTCATGCTGATTTCATACATACATGTGAGGACTGGACCAACATGCAACATGAGGTCTATGTAATTATAATCCACTAACACAATGTATTACATACAGTGGATGATCAACATGCCAAGCACTGTTGGTCTCATTATGGTGCATATAGGCCAGCAGCCCACTGGTTGATGATTAAAGCTATATATTGAGCCAATCATTGAGTAAATCTCCCACTTGAAGCTATAAAATAGATTCCACGATAGATGGTGATTTTGTGGTTGGTTATGCAATAAATCCTACATGTCAATCTGATTCTAACATTTTGTTAGGCGATTTTGTCAAGTAGGACGTCTACTGATTCCTCAGTTAGTAGATTACTTCAAAACAATACCCCAGTACTTGTGGTTTATGTTACCGTTTAAAAAAGACATAAAAAGTAATAGTTTGTATCAACAAGTGTTTATTAATTGTCAGCCCAATATTTGCCCCAATTATTTCTCTTACATGTATTGTAATTGAAAACATAACGGGTTTGTAAAATTGTGCAACATTATAACCTTAACATCCACGTTTTATGTGCATACATTATTAAAATTTTAACAGTTAGCCCAGTTAGCCTATTTTGTAACATTAGCCCCGTCATATAACATTTCAAAGGTCTTCAGTATAAAAAGAATAATGAATATTGAATTTGAAGTAACTGACTACCCCAACTAGTCTATGCAAGCCCTAATGTGTTCCTAGATCAACATTATATTTTTTTATAAACCAAATTATTTTTAGTCAATTAGATTTTGTGTAAGCTAGTGGTTCTCATCTGTTGAGTTGTAACCCTGACAGCCCTGAAAAACAATGGTTTTTGGCTAGATTGTTGTTCCAAAACCAAAAACTAATGTTGATTAATGAACACGTCCTACTTGGCAAACTCAGTCATCTCTTGACAAGCTGAAGTTCTAGAGGGAACAGCCTCTAAAACCATCCCGTCATGCCCTTGCGCAAGCCACTTAACCACTCCAGGGGGATTTTCTCTTTAATAAGTGTGCTTTAAGATGCTTTGGGAAAAAGTGTCAGTTGAACCTGGGCATTATGTGTACTTTTAGACTTATTACTGTAGATCAACTGCTTGGTAGTAACATTTGGTGTAGGAGCTGGTTTCATACTCCTGTTATAAATCATCAGCTTTTGTAACAATGTGCTAAAGTGGACTGTATATTGTCTTTTAGCCAATGGTAATAAATCATGTTCCATGCATCAAACCATAGCAATTCAAGGTAGAATCAGCTGCCAGCATGGTTTGAAGATGATCTGACTCGAATTTGGTGAAAATTGGACAAATGGTCTAGGAAGAGTTCGTAAAAGTTTTTTTTTTTTAAAGAAAAAAGAAAATCAAAATGGTGGACAGGAAAAATCAAGTTGAT